GGTTGAATGGAGAAAGATAAAGTTTCAGGGGTGGGAAGAGGGGAGCAAATATGGGAGGAGATTCTACAGAGAATCCATCAAAGGGGAATGAAGAATCCATTTAAATGAAGCAAGCAAAGGAAACATAATTCAATATTAAGCCGAGTAACACAGAGAGAACTGCTAAGTGGATGACAGAGATACTGCAATTGACAACATGTAAGAGAGAGTCCCATGATGCCAAACTGGCCATGACATTGCAATAGGCTATATTTTGAAACATTAACCATGAAAAAGTACAAAACCCATAGCTGCTCATGTAGATCAGATGATGACACGTAGCTGCTTTATACATACATATGTGAGTGTTGAGTGCCAGTAGATGCAGTTATTTTGTAAGCAGTCCTAAAAGCTGCATCAACATTTTGTGCATCAAGGCTAGGGACAGAAATTACACATAAACTGGTATAAGTGATCAGAAACTGGTTCAGATCTGTAACACAACAGAAGTTCATTCACACAAACTGCTTTCAAAATGGCCAACACTAGCCGGTTTAAGATAAACCTGAATGGATATAGTATCAGACTAAATTGATAAATTGGTTTATTGAACTTCTTTCCCAAATCCTCTTCAGATTCAAATTAACTCACATTCCTCTGGCATCCCAGGATGCTTTGCACCTCCCCTGCAAGTCCCCCCCTTGCAGGGTGGACAGGCTAGCCTTGGCCCAAGCTGTTCTCTCCAGCCAAGCAGGGAGGTGTACTCTACCATTCCCCAGCTTCTGGCCTGGGCCACTGCAGGCATGTGCCTGCATTTCTGGAATCAAAAGTGAATGTCTTTTCACTTGCTTCTCAGTTCAATTTACACAACTTAGCCTAACATGCAACGACTGAATCAATTCAGCCTCTGGCTTTTGACTATTTGTACTTAGCCCAATAGCTTCTCTGTACTTTATAAAACATCAAATTGGTTAACATTCTCTCTTATTTCATGATCATTCTTAGGTCCAATATACGATGCTAAATTCCCCAAGCCATTTATGATACTCCTCCTTTACACTGCTCATCTGGCCTTTGGTCAGCATGTCATATAGCTTCACACATCTTCTGCAAGTTTAATGTTACTGCAGCTTAATGAGTCTATCAGGCACATTGTCACAAGCAGATGAAGAGGTTTCTGATCTTACAGCATGTACTATCTCAAGCCTGAGGGAGGAGTAATTGATGTTGAGTGGCAGCTAGGTCTTCTGCCCATGTTATGAAATTAGATATCTTGATTGACTGTGGAAATATTCAGCATGTCTTTGTGCCTGATGAAATCCCTGGAATTCTTGGCATTTATTATTTTCATACCAGTAGACATAGGTAATACCTGTAAATAATGTTCATTGCATCTTATTTCAGAAATGCACCAAGAAAATACTGTGTGATACGGACTGAAAAGTAGATTTAAAATAGGAAAGAAAAGGTTAAGAGTTCAGTGTTCGGAGAATGATCAATAGGTAAAAGCACCGAATGGTAGAACTAAAACTTAACTGCCTTTAATGTGCCTTGCAACCAAGTTATTTTGAGCAGCATATCATTTCAGAATTAATATGTCTGCTGTTGGTACAGATTTGAGGGATGAAATGCAATCAACCAAAAGGTATTTTACAAACCAACATAAAATAGACTTATTTTATAGGCTAAAAAAGCTACTCAGTTCATTTTAAAGATAGTGAAACTAACACCCTCATTTATAGACTGATTTATCAGAATTTCAAACTTTCTCAGAAAACTTTTCTTTTAACTAGCAAGTATGGCGTTACAGACCATTTAAAGTGTTAGTATTTATTCATTATGGAGAATAAAGTGAATCTAATATAAACTGTTCTACCACCTCTGTGAACCTCGTACAAGTTCCTGAAAAGAGGCAAATAAAGAGCTTATCCATTTCCAATACTTTGACTTTCTCTAAGTGACTTTTTTGCGCCAGTGGTGCCACATGTCAAGCTTTTTCAAAAACTGAATAAATTCAACTAATGCAGAAGTATGTTGGGCTTCAAATGTGGAATATTAAATATATTATGCCACAGCCAATGCTGTAACCCCATTTTCCAGTGTTCATCACTATCTCTGGTTCTAAAATACTGCTATATCAAAACCAAAGGAATTAAAATACAAAGAAAAAGGGGCAAAATGGGAACAATTGTGAATGATTAACTGAAATATCCAGGAAAATATTTTGGCTGAAAGACTGGAAGATTTCTGGGATATATAAAATTTGAAATAAAAAATGGAATCTAGAGTTTCTCTGGTACAGGAGGAGGAGATTAGTGTTGACCACATTAAAAATGTTGTATGTGACTGTAATCAACCTATAAAAAAATAGTCACTGCTGAAATTAAAAGGTGGAAATATAGTGATTCACTTTAGACTTCTGAAAATCAGGGCATTTATTTGTGTGTCTAAGCATGGATTTGGCTAACTTTTGCTTCCTGGGGTTTTTTGTTTTCTTGCTTCTTAAATATGGACAGGGCAAACTCATGCACACACGTACGTACACACACACACATATATGCACATTCTGAGTTTGTTCCTTGCTAACCATTAGCTTTCTTTTTCCCACCAGGGCTTATTTCAGAACGTTTGTACCTCAGTTCCAGGAGGCAGCATTTGCCAATGGAAAGCTCTAGAAAACACCAGATTTTGAGATGGTGCCAGATAGATTCTTACAACCACATTCACATCAACACACAAGAGGACCTCCTGGAAGTGGGTTGGAACATCTGTATATGCTTTTTGCTGCTGGAATGGTTTTGATTACTACAGATTCATCAGATCTGTGAAACAAGGACCTTATCTGGCTAAATTACTGAATTAAATTTTTAAAATACTGTTTAGATATGATACCATTTTCCGGTGACAGTAATGTTCTATGTGATGCCCTGTTTCAGAAATACTTGTCTTTCAGGCAGTGGTGTAATTTTTCTTTCTAAGCAATGTTCTCCATTTTCTGAGCCTTTGTATGTTTGAGTTACTATTTTTCAGCGTATCCTAAGAACATATAACTGCCATACATACTAGAATGCCTCATGGACTATATAGTGCCATATTCTGCCTCTGACATTTGCCTATATTTATGGTTCTTATCCATACAGGTATGGATGTGAGTCATGCAATTTACGCAGTGCCTTTCAAGTGAGTTTAATGTTGACAACATTTTTAACATCACAGTTGAAAGTTCATCATGTGTTGAATGCAGTGTCCTTACGTTGTTGGTTAGTTTAAGCAATAAAGTTTAAGGTGGCTAATTAATATTCATCGTTATTGCTAAGAAAAGTCTGTTGCTTTAGTATGAAAAGTTCAGTCGCCAACTGTGTAATCTAAGTTGACAAAACAAAGCTTCTTCATAGGCCTACAGCTTTGTAGGTAACAGTTATAGTAATACAGCTGTAAGTGTATTTAATCAAAGACTTGCAGTTAGAATCAGCACATTTACTTTATGAAAAGAAGAAGACATCATTTTTCCTAATACAGAAATGCTAAATGCAGAATCCCAGCCACTCATCTTCCCCTTTTTGTGATATGTTATGGAAGACCAGATATAGCTGACTCTTAATGGTGTCACTTCCCAAATTAATTGTAAATAGACAGGGTACTTTCCAGCATGGAATAAAATAAAGTTCATATGTTGTTATAAATGTCACGTGGAAAAAGTGCCTTGCTTCTCGTAAGTGTTACAGAACTAAACAAATGGTACAGGGCTGATGAAGCTGTGCTAAAACATCCATTTGGAAGTTAATATATCACCATATAATAGCTGCCCATCTTAATAGAATCATATAAAACTATTTGATTGGCAATATTACCCTTGTGTTCATATAACTGGGGATTTTTTAAAGAAACCGATTGTTTACAAGAAGAATATATGACCAAGGAATCCATGTGCTCTTTCTAAATTAACAAATTATTCTAATAGGGTTTGTACCTGAAAAGTATCTTCCCTAACAAATTTATGCAAAGAAGAAAAAATAAAGAAAAAGTTTCCCCATATATGACTGAAAAGCTCAGTCAGTCAGGAATTGAAGACCAAATAGAAGTCATGGCTAGGTCAGAATCCTTTCTTCAAGTCTGCAGAAAAGGTAATGGAGTCTATCCTCTGACCAATACCTTAGGATTACTGATGTATCAAGTAAGATGTATAAACAGCCTGCAAGGGCCTTCAGATAAATTCCCGCTTGCATGCGCACCATGTTAGTCTGCTGAAGGCAAAATAAAACCCAATAACAGTTATGAAAAGTTATTACAAAGCATGCATGGAAAAGGGGTTGGCAACATTTTCTGGCAGGGGGGCTGGAATGACCCAACTTCGGTCATAAGTAGGTGGCCATTGGACCCAGCACCACTGCTGTTTTATCCTACTATTCAGCTGCAGTGTGGCGCAGCAAAAGCCCCCAGTCACCAGAGCCCATGCCAACTGACTGCAGTGTGGCATGAGCAGAGCTCCCCCTCCGCCAGAGACTCAGGATCCTACCTATAGCTTTCCGTGCCTCTCCCCCCCGAGCGTCGCACATCTGGGTCTCCTTCGAACCTCGTCATCGCCTTCTGGGTTACAC